GGTCTCCATTGGCAATCAGCTGAGCAAACACTTCCATTTATAAACAGCAAAGCAACTAGATATCGATATCATTATATATATATATATATAAAGTAAATATTTCATAAATATTGTACATACAAAGATTCATAACATCATGCAGTTAGAGTGTTTGCTGCCAAATATAGACAAAAGATAGTAAACATATTTGCTAATGCAACAACTAATGAATGCCCTGTGTACATATACATGCATGTAGTGACGAGCGTTCAGGAAGTTATATAATAGAAGTTTTACTATTTATGCCCGTAAAAAGCTACAGGTCACATGACTAGTGTGATTATTCTGTTAGTTGGCCCCTTTAGAAGAAAGACAAAATACAGCTCTGTTCTAGGAGCTGGAAAAAGAAACACTACCAAACTTTGATTTCAACCAAGACTCCATCTCTAGCTGCTCCCTATCCATTGACAAGAGACAAGATGATACTGGAGATTGCCCTTTTGCTTATCATGATAGGCCTCCTGGTCACTCTACTCATACTACTGGGAGGGATCTGCCATAAAATGCACATCTTAAGGAGAAAGAAAAGAGAAACAGAGAGAGATGGCCATTGTGAGAAGCATTACTCAATAGAAGAGGAAAATGAAGAGGAACGTCGTGAAAGGATATGTCTGATGATACCATCACTTTGCTATACTGGGAATAAAGTGAAGAGCTTCAATGATAAGAGAGCCTATGAAGCTACTTATAGCATAACTAAAACCATGTAATAACATGAATTATATATGCATACTGTGTATGTTTACTTTCAGTCTTTTTAAAAAAGAAATTCAAAAAGCCAGCAATTTGAGAGGGAATTCCCAAGGGAATATCCCCACTGCTTGAGCAATAGTATTTAATGAAAGAAAGAGAGAGCAGAGAGGGACGGAGAAGGTCATACATCTATAGCAACAAAAACAAAACAAAACAATATAACAAAATAAAAAATATAAAAATATAACAAAAGATGCATACCTAAGGCTATTATAAACAAATCACAGCTATCAGTATCAGAGTGTAAAATGATACCAACTATACCACACCAAAAAGGTATATTTTGATAAAATAAAAATAACTATAGAGTATCAAATATCATATTACAATATTCATAATTAATTAAGGTCACGTGTCGTGCGTCGGCTAAACAAAGAGACAATAGCAATAGTGATACCAGCATTATAATAGCTGAAGATAAGCAAAGGTTGATATATATTCGAGTAAGTTGAGCTTATCTTTATCTATTAGCTATCTATTTATCATAATTATAGGCTATAATAATGGAGCACTATGTATACGTGTATTCAGTCCTTCTATTGTTGGTCTTTTTGGTCTGGATACAGCCAATTATTATATCAATCATAGCATCACTATTATTTATCAGCATTCCATTACCAGTTCTAGTAATAATAATAATCTTGTATTGGGCTAATAAAAACAATGCTGATAGAAGAATAATGTATCCAACAGAAGTGACAGATGAGGCTCGTTACGAAGAAGTTTTGTTTTTTGTGCCAACATTTGACTACCGGTACTGTTTTTACAATTTCAATAATAATGGAAATTAAATTATTTGCTACAGGTACTAGTCACATGTTATAACATTATTGTGTTAATAATGTAAATATCATATGTCCTTTTTCCATTAATCAAATGTTATGAAAATAAATAGCATTAACGTAATCAGTGAATCAGCTGTCTTTTCCAATAATAATGATTTTAAATTCCAATCCCCTGGGAGGCCAATAACCCAACCCACTTCAATAAATTCCCCCCACCCACAACCAATTAAAACTTTACACATCTACAACTATAAAGTACACTATACCATACTATAAGTATAAGCAAACACAAAAATGCAAAATTCCTCCATTGTCATAGCAACAATAATTCAGAGTGCAAAATGATACGTACTACACTATTTTGATAAAATAGAATAACTATATTATCAATTATCATATTCATATATTCACAGTACGGTACATTATGATCATGTGCCTACCACGTGCCGGCTTAAGCTAATAAGGGAGATTGGTATCTACAGTATCAGTGATATTATAAAAACTAGAGGAAGTTACTACCAAGTAAGTTGTGTCTATCTCTATTAGCTATCAGTATGCATCATAGTTATAGGATAATGACAAAACAAAAGATATTTCTGTCCTTTTCTCTTGTGTTAGCAACCGCTGTTGTTGTGGTGCTGTGTTACATTAAAAAAAAGAATGCGGACAAAAAAGTAGTGAGCCCAATAGAAGAAACAAATAAAGTAGAAGAAAAAGATAGATTTACCGTACCATCATTTAGATTTCAACACTGAATCTTAATATAAAATACGGACATATATTATAGCACTAGTCATTATAATCAAAAACCTTTGTTATCATCTAACCATTCTATTTAGCTATTATTGTAAATAATATCATATTTTCTTATTGATCTAATTAATGATTCTATGTTGTGAAAATAATAGTATAGTGAATCAAATATTTCCTCCATTTTGAAAAATTGCTAAGAGGGCATTTCCCCCAGGACTATTAAATAATAACCCAACCCAATTCCTCCACCTACCAACAATTCAAACTTTTAAACAGTTATCCAGTACCGGTACATGTAGACACTATGCAGCAGTAATACAAAACATGCAATAACCAGCAAACATAACCACACAACACAGTAACATAGAGCAACAATTTGGAGAATGAGATCACAAAGTGCAATAGGTCTCCATTGTAATTTAGTTAAAATAAAATATGTAATTTAAATAAAGTAAAATTCAAGAAAAAATAAATGAGAGGTGGAGAAATTCCCAGGGAAATTACCTCAACACAAATTCATGACATCGTCATGACATCATAATAATGTGTAAAAGAATGACAAAATGCATTCCTCAAGCAATTACAAATAGACAACAGCTATCAATAGAATGTAAAATGATACTACACTACAAAAGTATAATTTGATAAAATAAAAATAATTATAGAGCATCAAATATCATATTAACAATATTCATAGTTAATTAGGTCACGTGCCGTGCGTCAGTTTAACAAAGGGAGCATTGTGCCTATAGTACTATACTACTAGTAAAATAATAAAAGCCAAAGACTATTATTCAAGTAAGTTGACTCTATCTCTATAGCTATCAATGTGTATCATAGTTACAGGATGAATACGAAACAAAAAATATGCCTGTGCTTATTAGTAGCCACCACCCTTGTGGCGCTCTATTACATTAAAAAGAGGGCTATGAACCAAGAAATGGTGAACCCAATGGAAGAAACAAACGAAGCAGAAGAAAGAGATATATGTCTCGTACCATCATTTGGATATTAATATTGAATAATGTGGGAAACATATTGCATTTGTCACAGGCATTATTAATCATAATCAATAGCCTCTGTTGTAAACTAACCATTCAATTTAGCTAATTATTGTCATAATCTCTTATTGATCTAATTAATCATTCTAGTGTTGTGAAAATAATAGTACAGTGGGTCAGCTGTTTCTTCCATTTTCAAAAATTGCTAAGAGGGGGGTTTCCCTAGGGTAGCCCCCAGCACTATACTATTAAATAATAACCCAACCCAATTCCTCCACCTACCAACAATTCAAACTTTTAAACAGTTATCCAGTACAGGTACATGTAGACACTATATGCAGCAGTAACACAAAACATGCGATAATCAGCAAACATAACCACACAACACAGTAACATAGAGCAACAATTTGGAGAATGAGATCACAAAGTGCAAAAGGTCTCCATTTCCAATCAGCTGAGCAATCATAACAGCAAAGCAACTAGATGCTATATAAAGTAAATATTTCATAAATATTGTACATACAAAGATTCATAACATCATGCAGTTAGAGTGTTTGCACCAAATATAGACAAAAGGTAGTAAACAGATTTGCTAATACAGCAACTAATTATTGCCTGTGTACATATACATGCATGTAGTGACGACTGTTCAGAAGTTACGTAATGGAAATTTACTATTTATGCCCATAAAAAGCTACAGGTCACACGACTAGTGTGATTATTCTGTAGTTGGCCCCTTTAGACTTTAGTAAAGAAAGACAAAATACAGCTCTGTTCTAGGAGCTGGAAAAAGAAACACTATCAAACTTTGATTTCAACCAAGACTCCATCTCTAGCTGCTCCCTATCCATTGACAAGAGACAAGATGATACTGGAGATTGCCCTTTTGCTTATCATGATAGGTCTCCTAGTCATTCTACTCATACTACTGGGAAGGATCTGCCATATACTGCACATCTTAAGGAGGAAGAAAAGAGAAACAGAGAGAGATGGCCATTGTGAGAAGCATTACTCAATAGAAGAGGAAAATGAAGAAGAACGCCATGAAAGGATATGTCTGATGATACCATCACTTTGCTATACTGGGAATAAAGTGAAGAGTTTCAAAAATAAGAGAGCCTATGAAGCTACTTATAGCATAACTAAAACCATGTAATAACATGAATCATATATGCATACTGTGTATGTTTACTTTCAGTCTTTTAAAAAAAAGAAATTCAAAAAGCCGGCAATTTGAGAGGGAATTCCCAAGGGAATATCCCCACTGCTTAAGCACTAGTATTTAATAAAAGGAAGAGAGAGAGAGAGAGAGAGAGAGAGAGAGAGAGAGAGAGAGAGGGACGGAGAAGGTCATACATCTATAGCAACAATAAGAATTGATAAGACTAAAGATACTACCCTCCCAAATCCCAATGTAATCTCGTGATATAAAGCTATGAATAATGCATGTGTTATCACGTGCTAGCTCAGGCCACCTAACTCAACTGACCGTCATTACAAAAACCAGTACGTTGACATCAGAAGATCAATTACTGATAACTCTTCTCCATGTTTATAGATCTAAACCACACTATATAAGATAAAGGAAGCTCTGACCACTGACCATGATATTGATATGGTTCTTTATAATAACTCCATTGTCTTTCATGACAGTACTGCTCATATTTGGATTAGTTTTGGCTCTTAGGAAAAGAAACTTGAGACAGAAAAGGCGTCCAATACAGGCATCAAACAATGATTCTTCAAAGGCATGCATTGTTGCCTCATTCAGTTAAATATAGAACAATTAATGAACAAAATAATAACAGGAAATCACAGGTTGTTCGACATTCCAATCATACTTGTAAATATTCAAATTAATTATGTTCTTGTGCTGATCAAGTATCTTTTAATTAGGGGATCTTCCCAGGGGCAATCCCTTGCATGTATGATGTATACAGGCGTATACACACACACACGTTACCAAAAAAGGCGCCTCATTATAACAATCAGTAAACTGACTACACCTCCCAGTAATGAACCAATACAACATGGAATGGGCCACGCCTACAACAAAAATTCAATCATTAAAAATTGGCCCAACCTTTTTACACATTTCAATATTACTATTATAATTAAATATTTAATTTACATGTAAAAGAGTAGATACATTAGATGTAATGTATGCCATACCTTCCATTGAGTGTCCCAATCTAATAACAGTACAGCTGCTCCTATCCATGAACCCATCAGTACAGATAATGCATTCACTGCACAATAAAACTGCCTCATTGTATATCGACTTTTACTATAAAATTAAATAATTTATTTTATTTTTATTCAATTACTGTGATAGCTTACATAAATAAAAGAGTTTCCGTCCATTCATTGGGTGTCCATTGCAATAATGTAAGCAGGGTATGA